CCTTGCCACATGGCTGGTGGCTTACCGGCGTCTTTACATGCTGCTTGTCCTGACTGTGGCTGCAGTGTCTCTCCTCCTTCTTCCTGTTTCCCCAATTCTCCTCTCTCTTTGTCCCGCCTATACTTCCTGCCTGGTCACTGGCCATCAGTGTTTTATTTATATAGAGTGATATCCACAGCATTTATTGGTTATGGGCCACCATTAGCACTGTAGTTAGAAGGTAGACACAACTTTTTTGCACCATCAAAATGTCTCAAGCACGATGGTCAAGGAGCAGTTTAACACAAAACAGTTACTAATTTGAGTCTGCACATCTGCACCCTGTGTCTTGAGAGAGGGTTTTCTCCTGGGTCCAGGTTGATACCCGGAACTTGCGGCCCTCCTGCTTTATTGACATGACGTGCCAATTCTTGGCAAAGCTATACTACTCAGCTCTGAAAATGCCTGAAGCCTTAAGAAATCGTTCTCCCAACTCATTCCACCAGCTGTCACACAATATACCTGATCATATATGATCACTCATCTTCAGGCCTTACAGGGTCATGACTGAGAACTCACCTGATAGTTATTGGCACCTAAAATGTCTTTGGCCATTTGTTCATAGGCAGGAGGAGCAGGTGAGAACAGTCTGTACCACTTTGCAGCCAGCCCTTGCTCTCCTCAAACCACCTCTACGGGAGCTTTTGGACCAAAGCAGTTGTGTTCCATGGACCTTGTCTCACTATTTGAGGACACAAATAACTGAAAGTTGATTTAATGTCACTTAGGTTAATGAACCAGGAAAAAAAAATGTTTCTCCTTCCTTATTTACATAAGTTGCTCACGTCTAACCTTGAATGCAGGCACATAAAACATTTCCAATTATGTGAGGGAGTAGTATTCAAAACAAAATCCACTGCAATATATTTTTAATTGAACTTATAGAGCTCTACTTATGAATGAAAAGGCTTTTGAATAAGAATAATACACAGTAAAGGTATATCACATCCTTTGCAATAATAGTATAAGCAATACTTTTATAGAAGTAGAATATAGGATTTATTACCAATTGGTTTGAAGTAAACAATTCTTATGATAAACTTTTTAAAATTAAGACTTTTAAAACTAGCTTATATATGCCACCTGGAATAATTAAATCATTTTCTTATTTTAAAAAGTATTTATTTATTTAACTTAATGTGCATGAATGCTTACTTGCATGTATGTATGTGCACCAGATATGTGCCTGGTGACCAAGGAGACCAGAAGAGGTAGCTGACTTTTCAACATTTGGCAAATTTGAAAGTTAATTGAGTATAGCTTGGGATGAATTTTTTGCAAGTGGATAATGTTTCATATGATGTTGGTTTATAGGTCTACCCGCAGGATCACTTTTGGGGGGAGAGGCTATAACATATATTAGATGTTACTGGGTTCAATGAAGACTTATGCAAAGACAGTGATGCCCTTACACATTTAAAATAACATTATTTTTCAAAATGATGTGAAATTTTCTTACTATACGTACATGAGAATAACCCTTTAAATTTTCCCATTGCAAATATTTGGATGAATATATGCTGGGGGGAGGTGAATTCTTTTTCTTTCTCATTCTATAGTTATGCTGGTATCCTCAATAGAAATAGCCTCTTGCACACAGCAATACATTCAATACAAATGGGTCACTTCATTCCATGTCGAGATGCTTGGAGTATGTGTACTCCACAATGAGATGAAGCCCTAGTCCCCACTGTGAGTTTGTATCTGTTACACTGACCTGGGATGGAAACCACAGTGGGATCTGAGAAAGATGAGCCATGTGGAGTGGGGTGGGGTGGATCATGTCCTGGAGGAATGACAGAGGAGATGGAAGGAGATTCGGTGATTAATTTCACACAGGACTGTAGACTTACTTGTGCTCCTTGTTGGGTATTTTCCAGGGAAGATAACAAGCTAGAGAGGATTTTTTCATCTTTTATCTTTTCCAGTATTACCCTCTTGTCTACCTCAACATTGCTTCAAATCAGTATTGACCACACCACCCACACGTAATAAGATAAAGAGGAGAAACATTGACCCAGACCTGGTGAAGAAAAGACAGTTGATGAAGGAGAAGCAGAAATTGGAAGGGAATTGGGTGAAGGAAGAGTGCATACAACAAGAAGGATGGGAAGTGAGCTGTGGTAGCAGAAAAGGAGTTCCTGGACAATGTGTGGGTGAGGACAGAGGAAGGAAAAGTGGGGCAGGAGCTGGAGATCCCTGGTACTAACATTGGTGTATTAGCATTACCTCTCCTTTGAGGGAATTTTGAGGGCCATAATTCTCAACCATTAAATTCAGGACAAAACTTTAAGGCAAGCAAATGGTTGATACCCTGAAGTCCTTTAGTGTTGACATCAAACAAGAAATAGTGGGCTGTCTGTGGCAGATTCCTACTGGGCTGATGATGTTGTGGTCTGAGAGTAAGTCTCAGCCTTCCATCCTGTCTTTCCGGCTGGATCTTGAGTAACTGTTCAGAGGCCATTATCAGTGAATTAGAGGACTGGATGAAGCTACATCATCTCTAGAAACCCTAAGCAAACTTCTACCAGTAAGCTTCCTAGTTCTCAGCTGAGCAAGCATAGATATGCTGGACTGGTGAGCACTTCACATCCGTGTTCACGAAATGGTAAAGAGTGGGCTGAATCAATGAACAATAAATCATGTTAATAAGGCTTTGACTCTAAGGAAAATCCTAACCTGTAACCACAAAGCCACCTGCAGATATAAAATAGCTATTTTCTATTTAGTATTAAATGTATGTGAGATCTTAACCCTATTATAAATTCTAACATTGGTCTAACAAAATCATGCTACTCAAAGTAGACTTAAGCAAATAATCATAACACTCTTAATTTTTCCCATAGACTTATTCAATGGACCACCAGAAATCAGTTCAAAAGCTGCCTCAAACTCATTCTTAAAACTACTTCTCAATATGAAAGCCATTATACAGCTCTGATGCTATCAAAATGACCCACACCCATTGGAGACACACTAAATTCTTCATTATAATTTCATCACTTTGCATTAATCACACATTCCTTATGAAGTTTAAACCAAAATAAAGTATGAAAATGACTTGCTTTTCTGAAGAAATATTGTGTCTGTGCTATAGTACAAGGTAGCTTGATTGAACATTTGTTTTATATAATTTCTATGACAGAATTTTATAGAACAAGTGAAGCAGGTAGGCATTAACATCTCTGTTTCACAAGAACAATTGAGTCACTTATAGGATAAACATCAGGCTAGTGACAGAACTGATATTTTACAAAGACCTATTTTATTGATAGAATTGTGAACATGCTACAGAATTTGGTTGTCAAGTAAATGTCATTATTATTTAAATATCACAGAGTATACTTACAGCAACTTGAAGACCATAGCCTACTAAATACCCAGGCTCTATAGTGAAACACATAGATCTGAGATCCAAAATTGTACATCATGCTATTGTATAGACTGACAAAGGTAAAGTAATGGTAGATATTTGTGTATCTGATGGCTGTGGTGTCTCTAGGCGATAGGAATTCAGTTCCATTATAATAACCTTATGGGCCCACCATAATATATTAGTCCATCATTAATAAAAAACATTATTTTATGGTACATACATATTTTAAAGTCCTAGCTTCCCCACTGGTATACCATATCCGAGAGAAATGTGCTGCCCTCAGTAATGTCAAGTCTGACTCTGTGGACCCCAAGATGTCCTCTCCCTGGATTCTGAGATTGCCCCTAAATGGCAGGATGCCATTAATAGTAGGGATTCCCCAATAATCTTTCTTCATCTCTTCCCTTTGGCTTAGAAGCAAATAAGATTCTCTTTACTTACCATGAAGCTGTGAGAAATTGAAACCTTGCATTGTAACAGATTTATGAGAAAATCCAACCAAGTGAGTGGGTTTCCATGACAGTATCTTTTTTGCTCATCTTAGGACAAGAAAGACCAGCCCACAGGGCCCAGTTATGATAGAGTTACAAAGTGTAGGACTGGTTTTGAGGTCAATCGATATGACCCAGTCTGTGATGTTAATAATTTAACAAAAGAAACACAGCTTCAGATCAGTGAAACTGAAACAAAGTGGATCGCACAGAAGCTCTTGACACCATCCAGAGCTCATGTTTTCCCCTTTAAACACTGACCAAGAAGCCCATACACTGTATCTACCATATCTAATTTCATAGATACAAATAAACAATAATACAACTCTGAGTTAGCAGTTTAAATCTTTAGCATTAGCTATCTTTGAAACCATAAAGTTATAGGTTTCCTTTTTTAATGGTGAGACATATGAGTCACCAGAGCAAGAAATTAGTCATGATTGAAAGACTAGCTTTGAATAATTACATTCATGATAAAAATAATGGTATTAACATAATATAAATCTGCTTGGCAAAGGACATTGCTCACATAATCTTATAACGCTAAGAAATCAGTGGTGCAAAGGTGCGCTCAGCTAATTCTTAGGACCAGAATGTAAATTTCCCTAAAGATATTGAGCATTAAGAAATTCACACTTAGTAAAATCTTTTCACTTTTAATCTCTGCCAGTATTATTTGTTTTGTATTAGATATTCAGGTATGTTTTATTTAGCAATAGCTATGTACATCGTACAAGTAGCTGAACATCTCGGGCTAATATTATCATTTGACATTATAATTTTCATTGTGTCAGAGTCATACTAATTTTCAAATTTTGTTATAGATGGTAGTATCATTCTTTTTAGCAGTAAATTTGCTTAGTAATTTATTTGTTGCTAATATTGACATCTTTACCAATTTTGAGTTTAATTAAAACATTAAATGATAACCACGGGATTTAAAATGCATACAAACACACATACGCATAGCACACTGAATTCAGAGTCAGAGACCCCTATGTGAAAATCCTGCATCACTAGTTAGCTACAGGAATTTATGTGATGTAATGAATGCAGTATAATGCCGGCAGTGACCCTTATATCTGCAGAGCACAGGCAGAGGCTACCAAGTGTTGCAGTAGGAATGGGAAATGGGTCCCCACAAGCTCATGGACTTGAAGTCGTGACAATGACACTCTTTGGGGAGGCCCTGAAATCTTTAGGAGGAGGAATCCAGCAGGAGGAAGTAGACCACTGGGAGCATGGGCATTCTTCTACTCCTGCTGCTTCCTGTCTTGCTGCCTGCTTCCTGGCCAGCTAAGATGTGAATGACTCACCCTCCAGCCTTGCCTTTCCCAGCGCAATGGACTGAAGTTGCCTGAAACCATGAACCAGACCCTCCTTTGGGTTGTGTCTGTTAGATATTGGGTCACAGCAATGAGAGAGATGACCTACACACTAAGCACGGAGGCCATCACAGGGTTCTCTTTCTTGAAATTCTGGTTCTGTCATGAATTTAAGGGACACTTTTTTTTTTTTTTTACTTTTCTTCCCCTAAAGGTTTTTATTGTTAAGGTTGGTCCTCTTTCTATTTTTAGCGCATATTCCACATATACAATATAATGTAATTATGGTTGTGGAGTGTAAAAGACCTGTACCTCTATCCTGCTGAATATTCAAATATCTCTTCTTTTTTATCTCTTGGAAGATCTTTTAAATTATAATTTCTTTTACTTTTTCAGATTGTAATAGAACTACCTCATTTCCCCCTTCCCTTTTCTCCCTGCAAATCCTCCTCCTTGTTATCTTTCAAATCCATGGCCTCTGTTTTCATCAAGAGTTGTATATTTTTAAATACATAACTACAGCCAGCTCAGTCTGTATAATGTTACTTCTATATATGTTTTCAGTGCTGATCATTTGATATTGGATAATCAGTTGATGTCCTCTTCCCTGGGGAAGACTGTCTCCTGCTCCCAGCATTTCTTAACTGCCTGTAGTTCCTTGTGGAGAGCTGAGTCCTTTCTACTTAGTCATTACCATACTGTCATGGGTTTTATAAATGGTCTTGATTTTTTATTCATATCTATAATCTTGTATTAATCAATATCTTCTAAGGTTCATAAGTCAGGGAAAAAATCAGAAAATAAAGACTCAACAAATAGACCCAAAATGGAATATTTATAATTTGTTTGAGACAAAGGTTAGCTATATAATTGTGCCTGTGAACATGCTAGCCCCCTACACAAGCCTTCTGAGTTTTAGAATCATAGGTATGTGCCACTATGTTTGTTTAAGAATCTTTATAATTAAAGAATTGGATTTTTTGGCATTTACCTGCACAGAATATTTCATGATCTATACAAGTAGTTAGACATATATAACTACCTAAAATTAAATAATGCAGTTGTGCATCATAATTTTAATATAGAATGATAAATTATTTCAGATTGGAGCTTTGAAATAGCATCTGTTGTTAAGTCTGGTTTTATCATATTATATAAAGTCCAAGTATAATTTGGAGATATTGTTTTGTAGTGTAGGATGGATGCAAATGTTGCATGCTTTGAACTTGAATTTATAATGTAGTATAAATTTGGAAAATCATATACTAGATTTTCTAAAATCATATATAAAACATTAGAGACCATTTTGCATTGTGATATTCAAAAAACTAATAAAAATAAGAGTCTAATGAACCTAAAGAAACACTAAGACTCTCACATTCTCATGTATTAAACAGTACATAAAAATTAGTTTATTCTGGATTTCTATTACAAAAATGGGACATTTATTTTACTCTAAACCATGGCAAAATATATTTTTAGACTTTCATCAAGCCAGTCATTTCTGGTCCTCAAAGCAGCATATGACCTGGAGGGGTTTCTCCTTCCTCCTAACACTGAGTATTTGGGGTCTTTCTTCAATGGTATCACAGCTCTTGCTTTGGATCTTCAGTTCATGGAATCCAAAGCATCTGTTCAGCTATAAGGAACCATTTCATTTTAGACCATAAATGCTTTTATTTGTCATGGATATTCCCCTTGACAATACAACAAAACTTTCAAACCAGAATACAACTTCCCAATCTTGGTTAAACTCTTGGAAATGACTGGGACCTAGGAAAAAAGTCTGTTTCTAAATCTTGCCTCTGAAGATGTCCAATGTGGTCCCAGCCTAGGGACAAAAAAAGCAACCAAATGTCAAAATCACAAACACAAATAAAGCCTTCATAATGGTAGATTTCAGTCATTGGTGTCGTGGTGGCTATGGCCTTAAATATGTTTATTTCAGGTTATTGAGGAGCTAAGCTAGTGTGCATTTTTTTTCTCTATTTTTTTTCTATTCAGCTTTAAAAGTAACCAATAATAAATGAAGGCTCTCACAGTAGCTACAGTTTTCTGCCCCTTAAAATTAAATGAGGCTGTGAGCATAAAAACAACTTCCATTTAAGACCATTTTACAAATTGGTTAGAAGATAGCTCCTAGTATTTAATCAGACACGTTTAAAAAGAACCTGCGTTGGAAGTTAGCATCTTAATTTTCAAAATGGAGAATGGAAATGGAAGTAAAAGGGATCATTATGGAAGGAAATTAGTGTGACAGGGGAACAATTTATGAAGAAATAATGTTTGGGAATGATAATTATGAGAGAATTTTAGCTTGTTTTCCTACCCTGGGATTTGGGACACCAGATTTAACCTTCTGTCATAAACCATAAGCTACAAGCCACTTTTCTTCTCAAAATTAATGTAATATTAAATGAGTTTGACCTAGTATCAGACCCAGGGAGACACTGCTAAGAGCACTATTTGATTCCCAGTATCGAGAGCTCTAAAGAAATAACTAAAGAAAAACTGAAATCCACATATAATTATTTGTCTACAAACTCCAAAATTATTACCATCTGAAAATATATCACATTGAACACTTCCAAAAGGAAATAACAAGAATGGATAGTTTTATTTATTATTATGTTATTGTTATTGTTATTATTATTATTATTATTTTATGAGCATAAACTTCAGTAAGAGAATGACATAACAATAACGCTTACATTGTCTGTTTCTTTATATAATCAAATACGAGTTAGCTCTGATCAATTAAGCTTGTGATCTTGGGGACTAATAACTTCACCTTTGTAGATGAGATCAAAGCCCCTTCATCTATAAAGAACTGGGTTAAACAAGTGTCTCTTGGCTGTGACAAGGTGTGGCTCATTCTGCCTGGCTTCCTGTTCAGCCATAATGGGCAGCAGCAGGGGTGTTTGTAGAAGGTACAGGAGGAAATAGCCATACATCACACAGAAACACATCATCGTACTTCACAAAAGCCTTAGTGGGAGTGATAAATGGTTTATGACATTTTACTTACATGTAATCATGTGATATACAACTAGACTATAAATACAAAAATTAAACTCAATCCTATGGGAAAATGTGCAAACATATAAAACAGATACCACTGAAGCAATTTTAAGACCGCCCATTTAACACCAAATGGCAAAGGATTACTTGTCCATGTCCCTATTCTCCACTGTGCTTCAGAAGTTAATTACTTGATATATTATTTCCTCAGTCACAGAAATGTAATTAACGAGACTGTCCTAGTTTGTTTCTGTTGCTGTGATAAAATATCATGACTAAAAAGTACGTTGGGGTATGTTCCTTCATGAAGAAACATGGGAGCAGGAACTCAGGGAAGAAAGCTGGAGGTAGAGACAGCAGCCATGGAGGCGTGCTGTTTACTGGCTTCTCGCCACTGTTATTTTATCTGCTGCTCAGCAGTTACACCAGACCCTACCACCGCCTCAGCTGCTGACTGCATCTCCACAGCCACCACCATGACTGCTGCTGCTGCTGTCGCAGACCCAGGGAACCTTAGCATCCAAATGCTTCAGCTTGCCTCCCTATAGGGAGACAAATGTTTTAACTAAGTCTCTATCCTTTTATTTTTACCAATAAAGACTCAGGAGTCAGATGCTGAGGTTAAAAACCTGCTACCTCAGAAAGGCAGAGAAAGTAGCCGGGTCAGCCTTTGTCTTAGGAAGAGAACCTCTCCTTCTCTGTCTGAAAACAAAACTTCTCCAATGAGATGTCCCTCCCTGC